GCCTAAGGGATACGGTCAATATAGAGCCAAGGCCCTGCCGGTCATTCTAGTTTTTGCAAAAGTTTACATTGCCAAATATTATACCTCCGGTGTGATGTTAAAAAATACCGAAAATTCTCTGAAAACATTTTCTGCTTAACTTTAAGCAGTTTCTGTAGCTAATGGTCGTGTTTGAAAGCGTTATCTTTTCTCCTCAAAACTCCATTCCAAATTGGACCATACCTTCGGCACTCCGGCGATAACACAAAATACCTGGTCTCCTGTATCCTTAGTTTCGACATAGTTTTATTGATGATTGCCAGTATGATACAGTGCAAATGTTATCGCTTTTTTGTAGCGTTGCTTTCTAGCACATGGGACGAAGCTAATCGGATGCTTTGTATCCGTGCTAAACTCTTAAGGTGCTAGGGTTGAAAAACCTCATGAGCCTCCAGCAAGTTGTATTACAACATCTGTAGAAAAGTGAAACTATGAGGATTAAAAAGGCTTGCTTTTTCGTACAAACTTCTTAGTTATAAATACGGTTGAAAAAGCACAAATGATGCTGAGCAGAAAAGAATCCCGGTAAATCCCAGATTTAGTGAAACATTTTGTTATATTTCATCGCCTTCTAGAATACGCTTATCTACTGTCTACTTCAAAATTTCTAAGGAAATTATGAGTTTGTTAGGGCCTAAAGAATAGCCTCATCAAATCTAAAGGTAGAATTCGATATGAGTAGTTTTCCATCTGACTGGAAATCATTCTTTGTTACACTAAGTAAGAGAACAGCAAAAGAACGTGTGATTTTCTCGTAGTAATCAAAAATGCACTCTTTATGATAATTGCAAGTAAGAGACGGAACAATTTTGAGTTGCTTGAAGTCAGTCTACTTGAGTGACTGACCCTTTCGCGCGGTCACCTTAAGGAGGACTTAAAGCAAGAAGGCGGCTAAATGAGCATGAATAAAAGTAGGATTTGATCAGAATTCTAGCTGAGTCAAAATAGAAGTTAAAGATCTTTTTTAAGAATTTACGAGTCTTTTTCCTGAAATATTACCATTATGATTAGGAGAAAAAATGAACGCGATGACATACGGAAGTTGCGAAAACTTGTATTATTTTACCGCTCTGAT